TCCGGGTTCAGGTTTTCAGGGTTTTGGGCAGACGATTCTTGACATTCCTCTGAATGCCCCACAAAGCCCAAATAAAGTCAAGGAACCCTTGAGCCCGAAATCTCCTAAACCCTAAACCCTAAACCCTAAGCCCTAAATCTCCTTCGGCAAGATTCGAAGAAGGGCGTGGGATGAAGGTTCATAGGGTTTGGGGTCGCAGTTTCGATGTTTTTATTCCAAGGAGCGCAGTACCCCCTAAATACCGGATATACCTCAAATCATATTAAGGATCCCTATGCAATTCGAGGTATACTCCTTAGGGCCTATGGGTATGTATGAATATATATATATATATATACATACATACATACATACATATATATATATAACCGTAATCCCGAAACCCTAAACCCTAAACCCGAAGCCCTAAACCCTAAACCCTGAACCCTAAACCCCAAATCAACATATGCGTTGGGGACTCCATTTACCGACACAGCAGTGTTGATGGGCCAGGAGCTCCTTCCTACAAAACTGCAGGCTGAGTTAGGGTTTAGGGTTTAGGGTTTCGGGTTTCGGGTTTAGGGTTTGGGGTTTGGGGTGTAAACTTTGTCGACTTTTGCAGACCTTTGCAGTCCGAAATCCTACACCCATAGCCCCTCAAAACCCCAAACCCTGGCCCCAACCCTAAACCCTAAACCCTAAACCCTAAACCCAACAAGCCAGGCCCTCCAACACCCCTAAGCCCTGCGAACGGCCAGGGCACGGAAAGGCCAAGAAAACCCCCACAGCCCACAACGGTAGCTGGTTTCCTTTTTGGGCTTTCACTCACCCTAAACCCTAAACCCTAAACCCACATAAACCCTAAACCCTTCACCCAAAACCCCTTAAGAAACCCGCCCCCTAAGGCCTAAACCCTAAACCCTAAACCCTAAACCCCAAACCCCAAACCCTAAACCCTAAACCCCAAACCCCAAACCCCAAACCCTAAACCCTAAACCCTATCTAAACCCACCTGCTCCGGCCAATCGCACATCTCGGCGGGGCCGGTCGAGGAGTTGGCCTCGACCAGCCGCAGGAGTTCCGGATAGACCTGCGCTCGGGGTTGAGGGTTGAGGGCTTGGGGTTTAGGGCTTGGGGCTTAGGGTTTAGGGTTTAGGGTTTAGGGTTTAGGGCTTGGGGTTTAGGGTTTAGGGTTTAGGGCTTGGGGTTTAGGGCTTGGGGTTTAGGGTTTAGGGCTTGGGGCTTAGGGTTTAGGGTTTAGGGCTTGGGGTTTAGGGTTTAGGGTTTGGGGTTTAGGGTTTAGGGCTTGGGGTTTAGGGTTCTCCACAAAGCCCTTCTATGGCTAGCACGTGCTTGCGTGCCTGCGTTCCTGTTGCACACCCGCAAAGCTCCATCAGCCCTAAAGCCCTCAACCCTAAACCCTAAACCGGTAGTGCTGGCATAAAAGGCGGCCAAAGTTGTCTTCTGATCCTTGCAACTCTCTTCGCGAGACTCCAGCTCCTATCGGTCCTATCGTGAAAAGGAACCATCGCGCCAGGTTGGGTCAGGGTGTGGGGTTTCCAGGTTTTTTTAGGGTACCCTAAACCGTAAATCTTAAACCCTAAACCCTCATGGGACCTCCTCCATCTCCGGCGCGTGGATCGGATGTATCATGAGCGTGCAGATCTTCGCGAAACTGAGCCTGCGAACTTGCAAGTGGGCTCGAGGGGTTTAGGGCTTTGGGTTTAGGACTTCATGTTTTTGTAGGGTCTGCATGCAAACTCTACTAATAGCCCAGACGCTGAAACCCTAAACTCCAAACTGCCTCCTGGCGTCTTCAAGAAATCGGGGGGTGGGGGGGGGGCCGTCGCCCTGTAGGCTTCAAGCTTGAAGCTTGAAGGTTTGCCGGAAGCCACAGCTTTGAATGTTTACAGTACCTGACAATTAACGGGGGTTTCGTCCCGAAACCCTAGACCCTGAACCCGACTCCTTGAACCCTAGACCCTGGTCCTTAAATCCAAGCCCAATTCGCAACCCTTGAGCCCTGAGCCCTAGTAACCCTAGTCCTGAACCCTAAAACCCTAACCCTAGTCCTCAACCCCTTGAACCCTCAAGCCTTAAACTGTCAAGCCCCAAAAAACCCTTAAACCCTTCTTAAACCCTTGGCAATCCTAAACCCTAAACCCTTACACCCCAAAACCATAAACCGCTAAACCCAAAACCATGAACCCAAAACCCAAAACCTCTAAAGCCCTAAACCCACAACCCCTAAATCCCAAACCCCTAAACCCAAAACCCCTAAACCCCAAACCCTTAAACCCAAACCCAAAAACTTAAAACCCAAAAACTCCCATCCCCACTTGGGGGTTTCCGAAATTCAGGGTACCTTACTGGGGTCCTTACTATAAGGGAATCCTATTATTTGGGCGACTCTAACCCTAAACCCTAAACCCTAAACTTCTGATGCCCGGCGGCAGCTGGGCTCCGCGGCCGCCCGACTTCACAGACAGCAGGCTTGCGCTGGAGAGCTCCTCGTATTCTTTTGAGGGGTTGAGGGTTTAGGGTTTAGGGGTTCAGGGTTTAGGGGTTTAGGGGTTTGGGGTTTAGGGTTGGGTTCTGGGGTTTTGGCTCCAGGGCTTACCTGAAGGTTCTAAATGTAGTTCCTTCTGGGATATTTTTTAGAGGATTCTAGTATACTACTGTACCCTAGACCGGTACTACACAGGAGGCTTCTTCTTGCTGAACACGGTTTTGGATTTAGGGCTAGGGGTTAGGGCCAGGGTTTGGGTTGTAGGGCTTGGGGTTTCGGGTATAGGGTCTCCGCTGTTGGGGTGTCGGGGTGTTGGGGACTTAAGGCGTAATAAAGGTCTTTCAGGGTCGGGGGACTTTGCTCCAGAGACGATGGCAGATGGCACCCACCCTCCGTCGCAACATGCCGTGCAATCGATACGAAGGAAGGCTCTTTATAGTGCAGAAATGGCTCCTTCTAGATTTTCGTGAGGTTTATGTGGGGTGCTCTTTTCGAGATATACGCACATTAAACCCAACTCCACTGATGGGAGCCGTTCCAACTTATGGGGCCTGTGTGGCACCCTGAGTTTACAATGATAGAAACACCCAAGAGGAACCCAGATGTAGAAGACAAGGCTTTAGGGCTTAAGGTTTAGGATGTGAAGTCGGGTATATATTTCTGTTTTTGGTGAGTGTATATAAGCTTCCTTTTTAATATTGGTGAGTGTATATACTTGGTGGCCTTTTGGGGGTAGAAGAAATATAAACCCTACTTCATGTATAGGGTAAGGATTTATAGGGTTTGGGGTATACAAGGTGCAGGCTTGATTTGCAAACAGGGTTTTAAGGCGCAAGCAATTTGACCTCCGGTTCTGGATGCACGAAAACATCACGTGCATGGGGGGCAGGACTACGACCCAAAGCCCGAACTACCGAAACCTTATGAACACCTAGGTTCAAGCCTCAAGGTTCAGGGTTTGGGAATTCAACATACAAGACCTAAGCCCTAAAGTCTTGGCCGCGAGCGCGACCTAGTCGTGAAGCGGCCGCGTGACGATCAGGAGCTGTCAAGACACACCCCTGTAGAGGGTGAAGCGTCTGCAGCCTCTCATCCTAGGTAGCGTCCAAATGACGACAAGATAAAGAAGACACCTGTAAACTTCAACCTCATTCCGGAAAGGAATCCTGAATCCCAACCTCTAGCGTGTGGATCGTTTTGCTTATGATTGTAATTCCGCGCATTTGTATGATAGAAAAACAAAAACCTGACTACACAGCGAACATCGGGAGGGTCGGGCGGGCAGCAAGCAGCCGCGCGTCAGGCTTGGCACATTCTAAACCCTAAACCCTAAACCCTAGACCCTAAACCCTAAAGCCTAAACCCCACCCCCAAACCCCAAACCCCAAACCCTAAACCCTAATAGTCCAACTTAAGACCCGGCTCCTCCGACTCACCAAGAGCTTCAACAAGGATCGACGCGTGGAGCTTGAGACACATCGCCATGTCCATGTCCTCTAGGGTCTGCAGGTTCGGGGATTGAAGGTCTTGGCAGCCCAGTAGCCGCATTCTGATAAGGGCCCTTTTTTGGGTTAGCTACTTTTTTTTTTTTATAAGGGAACCTTGAACCACGAAAAAAAGGGGGAAAAAGGGTACCGCTGGGCTACGAAGAGGTGTCTGTGCGGGGTTCGGGGGGTTTAGGGCTTGGGGGTCTAGGGTTTAGGGCTCCTTCTCCAAGAACCAAGGACTACAGAATGCACACTTTTTGTATATTCCCACAAACGAGGAAGAAGCTTAAAGTTCATGCACCGGCTCGGAAAGGAGGACAGGTTCTGGGATTTGGGGTGTATAGACGGGGTTCAGGCTACATATAACCCAGTTATAATTGCAATTATAACCCACTTATGGGCTCCTTAAATGACCTGACATGGATATAACTGGGATATAAGTACAGTTATGATGGGGGTTACCAAGTATCATGAACCTCCAAGTCTCCAAGTCTACGGGGTTCAGGGATGAGGGTTTAGGAGTGTTGCGGTTTTGAGTTGGGATGTTCCCCCTTAAACTAACAGACCTTAATCGGGATTATAGTACCCCCCCTATTCTAGTCCCTATTCAGGACTGTTAGTATAAGGGGGAACATCCAATGTTTTGGGTTTCTACCCAAAGGCTCCAATGTAGTTCCTTTTTGGGTTAGTTATGGGGGAATCTAGTATACTACCCCAAAAAGGTACTACATAGGAGCCTTTGGGTAGCGTCTGCGAGTTTGAAGTGCGTAGGCTCAGGTGGGCGCTGCAGGTTGCCTACAACCCCGCCGAAGACCGAAACACTGAGCCCCACCCTAAACCCTAAACCCTAAACCCTAAACCCTAAACCCTAAACCCTAAACCCTAAACCCTAAACCCTAAACGCGAAGTAACAACCGGAACCGTATCCCTTTGGCTCAAGATGCTTTACCCATACCATCACGAACCGATTTATCGTGCCCTTAAGGGTTCTTATAACCTAACTCTTGGTCGCTGGACGTATACGGGTATAGAGTAGTTACTCAGCAGGGTGTATAGGCTCAAGCCCGACAAGCAGAGCCCTTAGATCCCTGCGAATTTTGCAGCAAGTAAAAGCAACAGGCCGATCTTGACCCTGTGATGTTTGCCTTCACCTCCCAAGGGTTTAGGGTTTAGGGGTTAGGGTTCAGGGTTTAGGGCTCGGGGGTTTAGGATTTAGGGTCTGTGGTTTAGGGTTTAGGGTCTACTTCCCGTAGTTGATCGAAGGCTAAAGCCCCCGCAACATCTGAGAGCGATTTTGTTGGGTGTTAGGACCATGTTCGGATTTTAGGTCTAAGTCATTGACGTCATAAAGCTGTTTGCGGACGGCATCCCCTGTTGACTTAGAAGACAACCCTAAAGCCGAAACCCGAAACCCTAAACAGCATCAAGGACCCTTCACAGCAGTGGCTGGGTCCACATACCTCAAAAAAAAAAGGGTCCTTATTCTGATTTGAGGAATACTCCCTAATTAAGGGGGTGTTGGGCTCTTTGGGGATTTCTTGGTGGGGGAAGCAGCAGGCGGGCACGAGTTTGAGAAAGGGTTTAGGGTTTAGGGTTTAGGGTTTAGGGTCTAGGGTCTAGGGTTTAAGGTCTTTAGAAACAAACGGCGAGACGTCACGTGCACCCGGAGACCCCAATTTGCCTCTTAGATATGGCAAAATACTGGCACAAGGCCTTCATCAGAATGATCCCTGGGTTGCTGGGTTTAGGGTTTAGGGTTTAGGGTATAGGGTTTAGGGTTTAGCTAATGGGTAGCTTCACCTTGCTTTCAAACAGCCAAGGGCTTCGGTCCTCCGCGCCCTCGCCAAGCCTGGAAGCGCAGAGCTCTCTGACTGTTGACTGGTTGTGGGCCAAGGACCTAATCTAAGGGTTTAGGGTTTAGGGTTTATGGTTTAGGGTTCTAATCTAAGGGTAGTTTCATGGTCTTTTCGTAGGGGCCCTTAAGAGGGGGCCCCTTTTTTACCCCTTATATACCTTGTACAAATCAAGGGCCCACACATCAGAACCCTTCAAGGGGAGATAAGGGACCAGCAAAAAGGGCTAATGAAACTTCCCTTAGAAACCTAGACCCAAGAGTAACCTAGGAATAAAATGGGTGCCCTTTTTGGTTGCAAAAGGGCTTAGAAGGGACACCAAACCCCATAAAACGGAATAAGGGCCTACTCTGGGTCCTAGTAACTAAACCCTACCCCAAGCCTGTTCACATGCATCAGCTAGCCATGCCGAGTGGGCAGCAGCTGCGAAACGGAACAAGAAACCGTAAAACGCACCCTTATTACACTAACGATGGCTAAGGGACTTCGAATCAGAGTTGTAATGCTTGTAACGCAAGCGGGGGTCCTCATGAACCCACATATAACCTCGTAACTACGGGGCCTCGATGTAAGTTTAAGCGCTTGGGGTTTCGGGCTGCTCTTTGGCTCACGTCCGCCGCTTCACTCTTTTTGCAAACCAGCCCCACCTTCGGTAGATCATGTCCCCCAGGCAGGCCCTGAACCACCTCCTGCAGACTGCGATCTCGAGGCTTGGGTTTTAGGGTGATCGGGTTCAGGGTTTAGGGAGTTTCTGCGGCCTGAGGACTACTTACCCGAGAAAAATTCAAATAAAACACAAAACAAATATATATATATATATATATATATAAAACGTGTATCCATTTCTGACCTACAGGCTCTGAGCAGGGAATGAGGGAATCAGGTCCCATATGTTCACCTCGACATGCACTTGAAGGGATTTAGGGCTGAGTGTGTAGGGTACCTCATTCCCGCATTTCCTACTGAGAACCAGTGACATGTTTGAGGACACGTTCCCTTTTCAGGGATACACCGATGACTACCCCATGTTCTCCCTGTCCTGAGAAGAGAATGAGGGGTCTGGAAGTGCGCCCTATAGAATCCCTCATAGGGTTCTCTAAGGGATTATAAGGTACCTCGTCATTCCATAGTTCCCTACGAAGAACTCGAGTTGGGCGCTTAGGGGTGTCGGAATGTGGGAGAGTAAAACATCGAGGTGATGGTGGCTTCGCACTTCGTCTTCTTCTGACTGAAACTCTGAACCCCGAAGCCCGAAGCCCGAAAACGAAGCCCAGACGGCTTCTCAAGTCGCGCAAGGCAGGCGCCCTAAATTAAGTCAAGGCAGGTTCCCTTCATTCGGGTCATTTTTTTGGGGTACCTATTCGAATGCGCAACACGGGCAGTTACTATCAGGGTAATTCAGCCACGAGAACACCCTCCGCCCAAAACCCAAAAACCTGTTGCAGAACACGCAACTGGCCGCGTCCTAGCGCTCTGGACCAGTCCACCACTCAGGACCTCAGAAGTGGGCCGGTTTAGGGTTTAGGGTTTAGGGTTTAGGGTTTAGGGTTTCGAGAAGGTGTAGCTTTTGAGGCGGGTTTTGGGGAATGCGCCTGAGGATACCTGCAATTGTAGTTCCCTTTCCTGTTTGGAACCCTAAACCCTAAACCCTAAACCTTGAAGCCTTTCCCCTAGACCCTAACTAAACCTTGCTGTAAACTCTAAACCCGAAACCTTTTTTTGCCCACCTTCGTCGAGCCTCCGAACGATATCAATGATCTCGGTGAGAAAGAGAGAAACACATTAACGACGTCATGCAAGGGGATCCGTGTCATCCGTGAGTAAGAGAAAGAGTCTAGCAAAAAGCTTGCCTCTTCTTTGAAGATCAAGTTGAGGGACATGCTCCGCTATTCTCAAACACACTGCTAAGATCTCATCACCATGAACAAACTCTCTACTAGCAGCTATACCACTTTGGTTACCAAATCCGAAGGACCTCAGATGGCGTATCGCCTGAAGAGTTGGACAGTCAACGCCATGATGCTTCAATACGTGAAGGAAGGCATCCCGAAACCGGCGAACAAGTACGCCTAGCGACATAGACCGGATTAAGAAGCCTCTTTGGAACCCATACGTTAATACATATTCAAGCATCACAGCAAACCATGCGCACTGTTCAGCTGTCCGCTTAGCGCCCCAACGCCACTTATCCTGGCACACGAATTCGACTAGGGATCCAACAACAGCGTCGCTTAAGCTAACACCCCTTAGTTTCAAGCCAGGCACAAGTTGAGGCACTAAACTTGGAGATCGAGTTCCGATGCATCTCAGCGCGGTTTTCAGTCTAGGGTGCATGCCCCAAACCTTCGCATAAACAGCATCCGGAATGTGTGATTTTGAAGCCACAGCCGATCTGAACTTCTCCTCGGCTACACCAACACGAAGATCGTAGCAGTTAGGGCCACCCGAAATTTGGCACTTACCGCGAACTCTGAACTTGGGAGGGCATGCGCACGACGTAGTAAGCCTGCGAGCACGACTGGGTTCGCACCGCTCTTTTTCGAAACTACAAGAAAAGAGCTCTTTTCGATACATGAGAGTAGCAACTAAATGAGTTTGAAGATCACAAGCTCTCGAAATTTATGGTCTAAGGGCTTGTAGTTTCGAGTGAAACTCTTTCATGCCAAATTCCGCGCAAGTGCATCTGCCTGAGCATTTCCCCGTGTCAAAGAGGGATCTTGGGCCATATTGCTTGGACTGAGGTGAGCTGCGACTTTGAACACAGTGATATCATCACCTCCGCGCTTCCAAACCTCTTCCCCAAAAAACAAGCCCACAAGTCATAGTTATCAAAACACGAGATATCGCTACGCAAATAACCCCGAGATTTTAAGGGACATGCCCTGTCAACAACATTCGCGCAATCACAAGCAATGCGAACCGGCCCACGAGTGGCCTTAAGAGCGAGAAGTAAAGCATACAGCTCAGCTCGCTGAGACGTGTGATCGCTACCAGGCAATAAGGTAGCAAACTGAAACTGTCCTGGCACGACCACGGACGCTGCGGATGTACGCCATTTGTCATGGAAAGCACTTCCATCAGCAAAGACAGGGCTCGATGCTTGAATCTTTTTGGAAAATTCAGGGAACGTAATGCAAGTCTGAGATGATGT